TCTATCTTTCATCTTAAAACTTTTCTAAAAAAATAAAGAAGACATACAATTTATGTTTGCTTTTAAGATTTAAATTTTGCAGTGAAAGTGAAATCAAAAAATTTTTTCTTTAAACCCAAAAAATGTATAGAAAAATTGTTGAATAGTAAAAAACGTAACCAAATGCCAAAACAATCTGAAACGCGTTTGGACAGTAGTACGCCCGAAAGAAATTCATTACGATTAACTGATCACAGTCGAAATCAAATAGACGCAAATGACAATTTTATTTACATCTGTCAACTTTTAAAATATTATCAGTACGCAACTGGACAAGCGACAAAATAACAAGTGTTTACGATTTAATTAATTTTTAGTGTATCTTTTTTTATTTTTTTCAATGTAAGTTAAAGCGTTAACTTACGTAAAAGTGGTACTGGACACAATTTCTAATAGGCGTATTTTTCATTTAATCATTTTTGTGAAATCATCGGATTTTCCAGATGATCAGAAGAGTGTATTGTACCAATTAATTGCTAGTGATGTATTCTTTGATAAGGTGAATATTATTGCTATCTTAATACTGTGTTCTTAATATGGTATTAATTTCTTTAATACATAAAATACCATATACCGTATAAAATACCACAACAAATTCTTCAAAGATATAGTTTACATACTCGTAACTGAACTTCGCTGTAGTCTACACTACACTTCATACAATTCATACTTGTTTAGTTTAGTGTACACTTCTTCAATAAAATTCGTTAATATAAAAAATACCATATACCGTATAAAATACCACAACAGATTCTTCAAAGATAGAGTTTACATACTCGTAACTGAACTTCGCTGTAGTCTACACTACACTTCATACAGTACGCACTTGTTTATGTTAGTGTACACTTCTTCAATAAAATTCTTTAATACAAAAAATACCATATATCGTATAAAACACCACAACGGATTCTTTAAATATATAGTTTATATACTCGTAACTTAACTTCGCTGTAGTCTACACTACACTTCATACAGTACAAACTTGTTCAGTTTAGTGTACACTTCTTCCACAAAATTCGTTAATACAAAAAATACCATATACCGTATAAAACACCACAAAGGATTCTTTAAATATATAGTTTATATACTCGTAACTTAACTTCGTTATAGTCTACACTACACTTCATACAGTACACACTTGTTTAGTTTTGTGTACACTCTTTCAATGAAATTCTTTAATATAAAAAATATCATATACCGTATAAAACACCACAACGGATTCTTCAAAGGTATAGTTTACATACTCGTAAATGAACTTCGTTGTAGTCTACACTACACTTCATACAGTACACACTTGCTTAGTTTAGTGTACACTTTTTTTGTTTTTTTTTAAAAACAACTATAAGATTATAAGAGAAGCGTTAACAAATAAATAAATGGCAAATTAATATCGCATAAATTATATGTAAAACTTTATTGTATGCAAATAAGCTTTATTTACAAAAATTGTATGACAAATTTGTATAAAATGAATTTTTAAACGTATTTGCATATCTCCATCAGCTAAACAAAGTGTAATCCTCCGTGGCGTGAATTTATGTGGCTGATGAGGGTTAAGTGCGCAGATAAGCCAACGTAAACTAAAGAAACTTGTTTAACCGACAAACGTAAAGTTGAATAACTTAAGTGTTTGCAACAAATAAACACTCAATGATTAAATCATTACAAGAAATTGAAAAAAATTGAAACTGTAAAATATAAAATGTGATTAAAATGGAAATTCATTTCATCGCCAACATAAAACTATCATCGACAACGGAAAATTATAGCGCCGAGATAAAAAAAAAAAGACGCTGAACGATTTTATTACAGATATTTTTCATTTTTATTTATATAAATTTTCTTTTCGTCCAACCTGCTGTCGCAATAAAATTTCTTTAAATCAAACTAAGATTTTATTTTAAATTAACTCTAAAGTTTTAACATCAATTTCTCCATTGGGCGCAAATAAAAATTAATAATACAAATAAAAATTTATATATATATGATATTATATTACTCAATGGTTTCACATCCATCAAACTAGATGTCATATGCATATATAGATGTCCAAAAGTAAGCTTAAAGTTTATTCACCATTCTTGAAAAGCTCTTTTTTGCACAAATAAAGCTTTCTCTCACCTACATCTCTGTCAACTGAGAGACTCTTATACTCTTTACTTAACAAAACTTTTGCTAAGAACTCTTGAAAAACTTTCTCTCACCTGTTCGTTTGTCAACTGAGAGAAATACTCTTATGCTCTTTACTTAACAAAACTTTTGCTAAGAACTCTTGAAAAACTTTCTCTCACCTATTCGTTTGTCAACTGAGAGTAATGCTCTTATGCTCTTTACTTGACAAAGTTTTTGCTAAGAACTCTTGAAAAACTTTCTCTCACCTATTTGTTTGTTAACTGAGAGTAATGGTCTTATGCTCTTTACTTAACAAAAATTTTTGCTAAGAACTCCAGAATCAGCATTTCAAAAGTTATATGCAAATTTTATTATTATTATCAGGGGATATGGCACTGCAATCGTCGGGTGTATTGAGCCCCCTTCTGGATTTAGAGTAGGTCTCTAACCCCTGTTCTGTCAATAAAAAGTAGTATAGAACCTACTTTACAGAGTTTTATTGGCTCTTCCGTAAGAATATACTTTCCGAAGACTCTATTCCACTTGTGCATTAGCTCGCATTCTAACAGCAAATGTGTGACTGACTTCTCATTCTCTTCGCAGAATATACAGTTCGCATCCGTATGTATACCCAGTCTCGTAGGGTGATATTTTAATCTACAGTGGCCTGTTAGGATGCCTGTGATGATTCTTATATGTAAATAACGAAGCAATAAATTTCATTTAATTAAAATAATCTGTTCCACGAGCTACTCGTAGTAACTTTGAGTAACACTGTGTATACACAAGTGCATTCCACCAGCAAATTTTCGAGCAAATGAGATCATCTGAGAGAACGTAACATCCCTGTCGAAATATAAAAATGCTACACAGACTTTACTCGTACATTTTATTTCAATTAAAATTTGTGTTGATGTGTGAATCAGCTGTTTTGGTTTGAATTTAAATTTTTGTATTATTTATTTGCGCGGCACTGGTGTTCTCAACAGACCTTACACAAAGCTGTTCCATGAAAATCTGTGTAAAGAGGGTAATTTGGCACTTTATTTGGGTTGGGCTCTCAATTTGTACTTTACTTGTGTTTTACTCGAGTTTTACTATGAGTAGCTGGTGGAACGGACCTATTAAAGAAGAGTGCATGTTATGTATTTGAAGAGTATTGTCATAATGCGAGTGAACACAAAGGAAACGAAAATTGTTTCTTCCGTGTACTTGGACAGAAGTAGTGTGAAGTAAAAATCATATGTACAACAGTAACAACTTACAGATTGTAATACATTGACATTAGGCTTTCCACAGTGTTTCCTGTCATATGTTACAAGTAAGACGGAAGAAATATTATTAGTTGTTTTATAAATAGATGTGAGTGAAAATAATATGGCAGTTTAATGATCAGTGTAAAACAACAGACGTGACACTTATTTCATATTTTCCATATATAAGCTGGTAAGCTGTTTCATTATAATAGAAGCAACCCTTATTTATATAGGTTCATATAAATACCCTATAAGGTTCATCACCTTTCTAAAGCATTTTGGCCCACTAAACCTGAAAATGATAATAGTAATGAAGTTTTAAGGTCTTAAATGTGTTTCTACTAAACATTTTTTAGAGCTCCGTATATTAAATAAATCGAATTAAAATAAACAATAAATCTTCCATACATGTCGTCGTAGGCCCCATCATGTTTTGACTTTTCGCAACCAATTGATGTTTGAATACGGACAGTAACAACAACGGTATAATTACTTCAAGGAGTAATCACTACTTGAGAAATTCCCCTGCTACGACGGCTGTCACAAAGGGTGTCATAATGAATGAAGCCGACACCATCCAAAGGTTTCGAAATCAGCACCTAAATGTTAGCATAAAAGAGCACTTAACGCTTCTAAAGCCCTATGCTCCACTGAGAGTAAAGGATAATAGAAGAATAATATAATTAATATCTACCGTTTGTTAATATTAACAAAATCTCTTCAACGTAGTGAAAGGCATTTATTATGTCTTATTATTGTTGAAAGAATATATTACAAGTTTTGATTTACAAGTTTTGATTTACAGATTTCCAATCAATCTATAATATTTATAAACTATGCTCATTTTAATATACTTATTTTTTTTCAAAAAAATTAATTAATATTTATTTTAATTTTATTTACAGTGATTTTTCCACATATTACCACGGCTATCAGATGGCACCAAGCGTTTGTCAAAACTCACCGAAACTACCGCCGCACTCTACTACAAAAACAACATCGGTTACTCAGAAAAGTAATTGTGGTACCAATAGTATAAATGGTTCGATGGCTTCATATAAAATGACGAGTTCCGAAAATAGTTGGTCCCAGGCTTTACATAGTAAGGTATGTACCAGTAAATTTCTTAAATACAAATTTTCGCAATACCATCGAACTTTAACTATACGATTTCATCTCATATTGAATCGAATCTAAGCATTATCTTCTTATCTCATACTGTTATCATTTATGTCTTCAATATTCATATGATATCAATATGATAGTGTCGGGCAGATTACATCTATAGTAAATTGTAAGTTAATATATCGGTGTTCGCTCTCGAATTAAGAGCTTTAAATATCGAGCAGTGTGCAGCTTCACAAACGTACCATAAGCTTTTCAGGTATATATAGTTTGTGCTTTAGTAAAATATGTAGTCACCAATATGAAAATTTTTATCATCTTCAACTTGTCCCTAAATTTTTCATTTAAAATAATCAGTTCAATTCATCACAACCTGTATTAATTCTAGGAAATAGCTGCATTTTATTTCGACAAACGACTACTTATTATACCATATGATTATGTATTGATTATAGATCAAAATTTTAGATATATTGATTAAACATAAAATTCGCAAATAAAGATTATAAATAAAAGTATATATAAAAAAATAAATTAAAAAAAAACTGTTTTCCCGTACCGGGAATCGAACCCGGGCCTTCCGGGTGAGAGCCGGATATCCTAACCACTAGACAATACGGGAGTTAGTACAAGTTGAACAAATGTTTTATAAATAATATCTTCAAAGAATTTTAAAAATTTTATATTTTTGAACTATTTTTATGTTCTATAAAATATATTATAGATCAATAATAATAAGCGTTTTACTTTGTTTTGTACAATGAAGACGAAAACTACTGTAGTCAGACTCATACTAGATTACACCGTATATATAGGTCGTGTGCAAGTTCGAGTAAATTGATGGTAAATTGAGGGAAATAGTAAATGAAGTCGGTATGGGATAGAATGTTGGTATTTACCAGAATTTAGAGTTGGGTAAATTAGATAAGAATTAGGTGAATTAGGTTTTACCATTGTCAACATATTATTAGATGTTTAATAAATAAATGAATAGAATTGAACATTTTTAAACAAAAACAATAAATAAGTGTAATAAATAAATATATAAATATTTACATAAGTTCAGTGCAAAAAATCCCTAGGAAATTTTAATTTATTTTACCTCAATTTACTCGAACTCGCACACGTCCATAGACGATAATAATTATTTTAATATTATTTGATTAATATTAATTATTAGAATAATAACAAGTGCACCTAATGGGATATATGTTTTACTTGAGCTAAATACATTAAAAAATTTTTTCTTGTATATAACACAATACATATAACACATACCATCAAACAACACAATACGTAGCAAACATCAACAGCATTAAAACTACTACTTGGCAACCCTTACCATTTTTCCACTTCTTAAATTGTCCGCCAGATGTCAGGAGATATTTTTTTTCATTTTTTGAAGCATATTTTTAGACAATCCGAGACATTTATATATTTTTCAATCATTGTTTAAAAAAAAACATTTATATTGACTGCAGGTACTAGATCCACTCTGTGTAGAACATAAATCCATTATTTTGTGCATAAACATATGATTCAAAAAATTATTTAAAATAGATCAAAAAATCATTTCTTCCCGTACCGGGAATCGAACCCGGGCCTTCCGGGTGAGAGCCGGATATCCTAACCACTAGACAATACGGGATAAATTACATTGGCTGATAATTATTCTGAAGACGTTGACATTTTTATTTATTTTTATCTAAAATTGAAAAATACTTTTATATCATTAAACTGACTTCATAATTAATTTCCAAATAACTTAATTAAATTAATATAAACAGAAAACAATAAATTATTAAATACTTCCTTCTTCTAAGTGTTACTGTTCGAGACAGTTATGCTAGCGACTTTCTTTCTAGAATTCGTCAGATTTAGCATCTCTCATTAAAGAACATCTTATGTTTTTTGAAAGGTTCCAAATTGTTCAAAATCATTTGTGTTCCATATAGTAACAGAAATTATTAGAATACCGGTAAGACATAACCTAACCCAATGCTAACTATATAGTATTGGTTTGAAAACGTAATAGTAGAACTTTTCTATTATCTATATATCTCTATATCTCTTCTCTTTATCATAAAAACTCTATTACTTCATTCATTTTTAATTTTTCATATTACACAGAAATGTATAATTATATTATATATACAAAGCTATGTCACAGCTATGTCATTTTAGCCGTCGGCCAAAAAGGCTCTACTTACAATAAACTGAGATACATATTTAGAAGAATTTATATATTCAAGCTAATTTTAGGCAATTATCTTATGTAGACGTTACGTGGTGTAGTCCATATATTTAATTGACTAAATCAATTTTTTAAATTGTAGTATAACTAAGACCCATATTCAAAAGAATTGATAAATATAAGCTAATTTTAGGCAGTTAAATTTTGTGGGTGTCATATGTTAAACTCAATAAAATTAATTGGCTTAATTTACTTGTAATCTCCCACAGTCTTTACTAACAAAATTTTAATAGAATAGCTCAAAAGCTAAGAATCGGAAGAACAGATTGAGTTGTAGTGCTATGGTGATTCAGATATATATATGGTTTATTAAGCTTATTGGTTTCCAATGTCTTCTTTGACGCATTAGAAACATAACAAATCGAGAAAAAAAACTTGACAACATTTTTATATACATAGGCTAAAAAAATTTAATATTGATATACATTAAATTAAAATTAATATAACATATATATTAATTTCGAAGACGAAGTTCTTAAGAAAATAAATAAATGAGATATACATTTTTTAAAAAAAAAAACTTTGTCTCCCCGACGGGGAATTGAACCCCGGTCTCCCGCGTGACAGGCGGGGATACTAACCACTATACTATCGAGGACGTTGAGCATGGTCTGTCAGAAATTTTAATTATTTTACTGTAATATATAAAAAAATTTAAATATATTAGGTATTATAATATATTATTATTCATTTATTCGTTTGAAACTTTTAAGTTACAATTTTACTAAGCAAGAAATATTTCATTACAGGAAAACCAGCGGCCGCCTGTTTACAATCCAGAGGATTATGTGCAATCATTAAAAAAATTTGGCAAAAGACAAAGCGGTAAAAACCCACGATCCATATATGACACTCACGACACTAAAAATGCGAATAGTGCAAATAATACAGATGACGCTTATAGGTCATCCACATTACCCAATAAACACTCAGAGTACAAGTAAGTAATATAACAACCCAAAGAACATACTTAGTCAAATGTTTTAACCTTTAAATTTTGCAGAAGTCCCATACCAACCCCACCCGAAAGTGACAGTGAAATGTCTTTAAGACAATTCAGTTCAGTTACAGATTTATTAACAAAATTACGCGCTGATTTAAGAGTTTCATTTCCAAGGTATACTATATACACCTTATTATCGCTATATACCTATTAGTGCTGTTCACATTATTCGAAGTTTTTAAAAATTCGAAGTTCTTCGAATATTCGAATATTCGCATTTCAACGAAGTCTTCGAAGTTGGAAAAAACTTCGAAGTTTTTGTGAATTTTTGTTCTCGAAGTCTTCGAAGTTTAAATGTAGTGAAAAACTTCGAAGACTTCGAAGACTTCGTAAGCAAAAGGTGAAGTGAGAGCGCAAAATGCAAACAAACGTGCATCACACAAATTATTTGAGGGATGAAAGCATTTGCTTTGTTTGTACGGTTTTATGTTTTTTGTTGTTATTCTATGCAGAAAATTAAAAACATGTTTTTTTGTTTTATTTTATTACATAAAATTTATTTTATTATTAAATATGTATTATAATATATATTATTTTTAAATATGTTATTATTAAATATTTTTTATATTAAATAAAAAATTCACATTTTAAATAACTTATATTTATTATTTATATTTAAAAAATTATATTTATGAAAATTTTTAAT